GTCCCTCCTTCTCGTGAACCGTCCCTCTGGCTCATCTGTTGCCTTAACGGGCAACGACAGCGATCCTCCACAGCCACTCTCATCTACCGACACTTACCGTGCTCTGACCGTTTGTGTTTCGTCCCATGTCTGATCTCTTTGCTCCCGCTGCTGCCTCGAATCACCATGGCCAATCGGGGCCCCGCATCCACGACGCGTGCGAGGTGTCACACGAGACCTGCTTGATCATCGACAATGGCACGGGATTCATCAAGGCGGGGCTTTCAACCGCCAAGATGGAACCAACCGTCGTCATCCCCACCCTCGTCGGCAGGCCAAAGCCAAGGTAGCGCACGACACACATGGCGGGAGATGAGATCATTTGCATGGCTGGGTGCATCTCTCAGGTTTGCGTGTGAGTTTGAGAAGGCTGACGAGCGTTTTGTTGGAGATGCGATAGATGCTGTGAGGGAGAAGCTGACGTTCGAAGAGCCAATCGTACACGGGGCCATAGAGGACTGGATGGAGGTCAGGCAAACACAAGACACAATGCACACCCCTGCACATGAAGAAGGTATTAATGTCTTGGTGCAGATGGAGGAATTGTGGTCCATAGTGTTCGACTCGCTGGGCGTCATGCCCGACCCATCCGCCATGCCACAAGACGCACAGCACCACGGGGCAGCTTCTTCTTCTCCCGTGTTGCTGACAGAGCCCCCATTGACCCCATCCCGTTCAAGCATTCGGAGCGCCGAGATCATGTTTGAGTATTTCAGGGCACCTGAGCTGAGGCTGGCCACACAGGGGGTTCTCGCCCTGCTTGGGTGAGGCCGGCAGACACAGATAAAGGGTAGGCAGGCGGGGATGGGACAGTGTTGTGTTGTGTAGGTTGGGCAAGACAACCGGCGTTGTGGTTGAGATGGGCGACGCCATCACACAAGTCGTCCCCGTATACGACGGTGAGTACAAGCATTCACAGACAGACACTCACGACATGTGCAGTCGTCAATCGATTGATGGATGAATCATCCATCCATCCATCAGGGTACGCGTTGCGTCACGGGATTCGTCGCGTTGATTTGGGTGGCCAGGACATTACGATGCTGCTGCAGAGGGCTTTGTGTGACAGGGGATACCCCCTTACCACTAGGACACACCAGGTTCGCATACATGGAAGATCTGCACTTGAGCACCTGTTGTGGGTATGCTCAGCTCCAGGTTCGTCGGATGAAGGAGAACTGTTGCTTCGTCGCGCAGTGCCCCGAAAGTACATCAAACCAACGTCATAGGTGCAAAATGTGCGTACACCTGTTGTGGTGTTGTGCAGGTGCGAGTCATCAGTCCGCTGAGTCCCTGCAGGTTGCCCACGAGCTCTCATTTAGCCTCAGCAACCACGAAAGGTCAGTCACACACAATGTTGCACGACGAAGGCGCCCAGTGAAGGGAATCATGTATCCCCATTCCTGTGGTCGATCAGCGTGGTGTGTCTGGACCACGAGCGGTATTTGTGCCCTGAGGTGCTTTTCCACCCCTCACTCATACACAGGGAGCTACCAGGGCTGGGACAGCTCGTCTGGCAGGCTATCGAGGTACGCGGATGTCACGGCACAGCACACGTGCAATACCAGCTGGTCTGTGTCACATATACATGTAAGTCAGCAGAGATCGACACCCGTCAGTCGCTGTGGAAGAACATCTTCCTCACCGGTGGCTCCTCCCTCTTCTCAGGACTGCAGGAAAGGTACACAAACACAGAAAAAAGCAGTCAGGTCGACTGGCCTCTATATGGATGTGACGTCATGCTTTCAGGCTGCAGACAGAGGTGGCGCAGTACGCACCTGAGAAGTCCTCAAAACGAGTCACGTAAGCAGACGCACAAGGTAATTCTCACGGAAATGCTCTCTTTGTGCTATGGTTTGTCTTGTGTGCAGCGTTCATGCGTGGGAGGGTCGTGAGCACGCTGTGTATCAAGGGGCTGCACAGGTGTGCGCGCCCTCCATCAAAGCACTCGAGGTGACAATGCACATGCGCGTGTTGACAAGGATTCACTGCGTTCTGCACTATGGTGTGTCACAGTCTGACCTGTGGATCAAGGCCAGCGAATATGCGGAGGAGGGGCCGAACATTGTACAGAGAAAAGTAACACTCGGAAGAGCAGCACCAAATCTTGATCACTGGATTTGGATATGCGTGTGTGCGTGGCCTTGCTGCTGTCCATGCAGGCTATGATGCGGTACAACTGATTGTCATTTGTGTAGGGTCCTTTGCTGGCGGTCCTTTGTTGGTTTCTTTGTCCTATTTGTAACACAACATGGATGCATGGATGCGTTTAGCCGCTGCTTTTATGCGAGACGGTCACACAGCAATGAGCCAACGATCGAAGCATTACATGTGTGTCTCAAACCACATCGCACTCAGTAGACTACCATGCGTCAGATCTCTTCGTCGACCCGCTTCTTGCGCCTTTTGCCGCCGTGGGCAGTGCTGCTGCACGTTGGAAGTCTACCTGCGCCTACTCACGTGGACGGGAGTCCAGAAATGATAATATAAAGTCTGTATGGTCTGTTTCATGTGTGGAGTTTTCCCGTCAGATAGCAGTGGCCAGGTAGTGTGGCTGACAGGTGGTGGGCTCGACTTAGTGTGCTGCTCCAGACACAACGCACAGACGAAATGGGCAATGCGTAGGTGCGAGGAGTAGGGCACCACCTCAAATGTGGACGGCGGGGACCAAGGAGTGGGTATGGACGGTGGGAACCACCTCAAATGTGCCCTACTGAGGTGTGTATACTCCTTGCCCATTTGAGGTGTGTATACGGGAGGTGTGGACGGGCTGTCTTCCCGTGTGGACGGGCTGTCTTCCCGGCAGGAAGACAGCCCGTCCATACGTTGCCTGTACAAAGTCTACATGGGCTGTTTTCATGGTGTGATACATATGAAAGTGAGTCAAAGAGACATGGAATGAATGAGTAGGGAAGCAGTGACGTAAAACTGGTCATCCATTGACTCACTCAGTGCAAATATGGTGTTTGACTGATGATTGACTGACTCAGGGTCTCCATGAGGGCAAACAATCCTCAAAGTCCGTTTTTGACTGAGAAAAAGTCCGTTTGAGAAGATTGCGAATTATTTCAAAAACTCACCATTGGCGTGCAGCATTCGTCGAAATACCTATTCGGCTGAGACAGTGAACTCATCGTGCGATGAGATATCTTTGACGATGTTAGGGATGGACGATACTGTACCGGCAGCGCGGCGGCACCACATCGCTGAGAAGAGGCGCAGCAGCACCTGTGCGTGGCTGATGCAATCCGGCGAGCTTGCACAGCCACCACCCGTGAATTCTTTTAGAATTACTCCCTTTTGATATTTTCATTTTGCAGGGGTTTGCGAAGTTTTATAATGGAGATGGCTGATGTGGGGGCGGTGAAGTGAAGAGGGTCTAAGTGTTGTTTTCAATGGCTAAAACAAGCCTCAAAATAGCATTTCCCCCTCCCCCCCCCTTTCCCCCGGTCATCGCCCAAAGCTCTTAAAATATCTCCTCATCATTTGACGATTTTTGAAGTTCTTCTGCGGTTTGGCGTTTTTCAAATATTTTTCGGCACATTTGGGACGTTTTAAAAAATGCGCGGTCAGGGGAAGAGGCTTGCACGGGGTGTGCACACCAGGCACAATCACGACATTTTTGTTGTCCACCGCGATGCTGCCGCGCAGCAACGTGCTGTTGTTCGTCTCTGGCACTCTATTGTGACGCAAACACACACGCACGCAGCCATGAAACGAAGTCGTCGTGTCGTGCGTTGAGGGGGGTCCGCTTACGTTTTGTTACGAGGTGGCATTTTAAGCCGAATAAGGGGCTGAATTCAAGCACTATTCATTCCCGTCTCGGCTCACTCTCAGTGAAGTTCTCAGTAGAATGACGCTTCGCTGATAAAGGGAGGGAGGTGTTCTAGCAGCACCGACCTCGTCCGGCATCAGACACACAGAAATCCGGTCGAAATGAGCTGTGGATGTGTGTGTGTGTGGCTGTGCCACCCATGCGAATGAGAGACGTCCGAGCCGAATTCAGTGCAAGGGGCGACATGAGTATTATGGATGGATTGCATGATGAGTGTAGTGTATCGGTTGAGCGTAGTGTATCTGTGTAGGTAGGAAGCAGATGATACATGGAAGGTAGGGAAGACGGCACATGCAGACAGGAATGATTCTGGGAAGCACATGCATGACAGATGGATGGCAAGAGGAAGGCATGGCAAGGCGCAGCTAACACGAGTGGCCCAGACTACCACGAGAACAAATGGTTGCGACAGGACGTGTTGAATTGTCGCAAGGGTTAAGTGCGAGCTTTTGCGAGCCTGAAACGGTTAGGATCGACCGTTATTCAGGATCGCCGGCTTCAAGATCGCCGGCTTCAGGATCGCCGGCCGAAGGACTTTCGAAGGACTTGGCCATCCTGTCGTTATTGCTTCTTCAGATCAGATTTTTCCGACAAACTTGACAGAATCGTTGACTTTGACAGATTTCTTGTTTTCTTTGCATATGATGGACATAATCGTTAATGTGTGTGCATCCCCCGCCACCCTGTGTGGCAGCTTTCACTGAAGGGACGTGCGCGACCACCAGTGAGCGTGCACAAGCAACCTCAGCCTCGACAAAGAGAGACATCATCCCCACATTGCGTCCAAGTGACTCAGGTGAGCATCAAGCTTACGCACTGACTTCATAGTGCGAGGACCTTAAGCGAGGGTAAGCACAAGCAACACTTCACTGACAGACAGTCACACACGTGTCGCGACAGGACGCCAATCAACCGAACAGCAACCACACCAACCAGGAGGGAGCCCTCGTGCATTTTGGTACACCGTCCGGGAGCAGCTTGATAGCTCAGGACACCTGCGACAATTCAACACGTTCTGTCGCAACCTCAATGGTGGAGACGAGGCATAGCAAGCGAAAGACGCAGCCGTCTTCAGCTGACGGAGGCGTAAACAAAGGGGGCGGTCCGAAGGGAAAGGGACGCAACACCACACAGGGGAAGGCCACGAAGGCGAAGAGGGAGCACACGAAGGAAGAGGATTCAGACAGTGTGATAATGCACCGCCAGCAGCCAAGCACAGGAGCTGCCGCGCGCGATGCAAATGACATGCGCGACGACCACCGGGTGGGTGAGATCACGCAAAGAATGACAGGCTTGGACCTGCAGAAGCCATCGATGAACATCCGGCTCTTCACAGGCACGTCAGATGTCCGGATTGAGGACTTCATTGAGGATGTTAAGCTGGGCGAGCAATTGTTCCGTCTTAAAGGGGAACGCCTTCTGCCATACATCGTGAGTGCACTGCATGGCACTGCACACACAAGGGTGACCCGGTGGATATCAGCACAGACAGAGACGGGCGTATGGGAGAACCTCAGTGGGGAGGAGCGAGTGGCCAGCCTCCTCGCCTACATGAAGCGGGAGTTCGGCCAGAAGGAATCACAGACCCATGTGTTAACCGAGAGGATGAAAACATGGCGGCAAAAGCCCAAGCAGACATTCGAACAGGCGTTCGATGAGTTCACAGAGCTTCATCAAAGAGCACGGACACCAGAACCCCAAGGAGTAGGGCAAATCGTGGATGGGTTGGATTGTAGACTGAAAGAGGAGATACTTCGAAAGGAGCCTATTTCGCACTCGGATCAGATCATGTACCTACCACAAAGAGACAGAGCGAGGCTCAGGCAGCATTTGACCCGATGGCATATGAGCCAAGCCTCAAAGACATCCAGCCAGACGACCGATTTGACCGCGTCGAGAAACACGAAGTGCAAGCAGTGATCGGCAAGAGAAAACATCGAGGCAGAGTGCAGTACAAGTTGAAATGGCGATGGTGGCCTGTCTCGTATGCCACCTGGGAAGACGAAGGGAACTGCACCTGCCCCGAACGTGTGCAAGAGTACGAAAACCGGACGCGAGGTGACGAGCGTACCTTTGATGATGCGCCGTTCCCGAAACTAAATGCGACGGTGAGGATCACGCATTGCAAGGAGCTCAATCGTGAGCACGTCGTGAAGGTCATTGGCCTTGACAAGCGAGGAATCAAGATGGAGTTCCTTGACGAGCCTACGCGCACCAAGCTATCCAGGAGGGAGAGCATGGTTGGGGAGAAAAGCATCATCCAGCTGAAGGACTTTCTGAGGGACTACCAATGGGAAGCTGAGCTTGGCTCAGAAGCAGTAGCCGCAGGCGAAACGATGCTGCCCACTGATGCCCTCGAGCAGCAGGTCTGAAGGGCAACAGCAGCGGCCGAAGGATGAGAGGAAATTGAACCCGTCAAAGTACCTGACAGCAGCAGCACCAAAAGAGGGGCTGCTCGTGAGGTTGTTTCTCGAGCCTTACAGTGTCATCGTTGAAGCCGAAGCCCTCGGGCAACAGCCCACCGACGGGCTGGGGGCGAGAGGGTGAATGTAACATAGTGGACGAGTTCCTTTAATTCGCTTAGGACAGGACTTCCACACCCATGCTGCTCTGCAGCCGGTGCTGTCCTTGAATGGCCAGTCATTGGTGGGTTGGGCTGAGCCAAAAATCAAAAACAAAAACAGTACGAAATAGTAACCCCAAGGGCTTAAAATGCCACAGAAAGTATGATGCTGCTCGGAGATCAGCATATATAAAGGGAGGGAATGTTACGGGGTGGCATTTTAAGCCGAACAAGAGACTGAGTTCAAACACCATTTGTTCCCGTCTCCGGCTCATTCTCAGTGAAGTTCTCAGGAAAATGACGCTTCGCTGATAAAGGGAGGGAGGTGTTCTAGCAGCACCGACCTCGTCCGGCATCAGACACAGCTGTGCCACCCATGCGAACGAGAGACGTCCGAGCCGAATTTGCAATGTGGGGACTGTCAAGGAACGAAGAGTATGGATGGATTGCAGGTCTGGGAAACTTGCATTAACCGTAACACTCGTCTGTGTGTCCATGATACTCATAAACATACAGTCCCATGAGCACGCAGAGTCAAACGCTCACGGGGAGGAGGATCGATCCCCGCCCTATCAGCACACCCCAGTCCTGCAAACCCTCCCCTCCCTCCCCCACGCAGACAGTAGCTAGTCGCACGCGCGAGGGCGATAGACAAGCGAGAGCGAATCCATCCAGACACATGGCATGAGCCATGTGGGCGATGAACACGTTGGCATCGTGTCCCCACACACCGTCACACGTCACCATCAGAGGGCAGAAGGTCACGCGGGAGTCGCAGACGGTCGAGTGATATTTCTTCTTCTTGGCGGTCTCGTGCTGCTTCAGGATGGACTTGATCGATCGGTTCTTGGAAGCATAAGACGGTGCGTCAACATCAGTGATGCAGATGTCGAACGACGCAGCCGCCTGCCGCTCCCACACGCCCCGAGCGACGATGTTCACCCTGATCCCGCCCTCCCCCTCCTCTCCCTCCTTCAACACCACCTCCCGACGCACACCAGCGTCCCCCCACGCCATCCCAATCAGCTCGGCAAAAGTGTCCCGCAGCTCGTTGTGGCGACGAATCACCAGGCCGTACCGCTTGCAGCACAGCGCATGGTCGACGGTGAGGGGCTGGTTGCAGTGCTCGCAGCGTGCAGCGAGGCCAGGGGGGTGACGGCCGTATCGCATGTTGAGGGCATCTCGAAACTCCGCAGCATCAAGACCAGTGTTGTTGTCTGTCGATGGGAGGGTGGTCAGCCAGCCGGACGTCTTATATTCGGCGCTACAGGAGAGGACGCGATGGCGCCGGCGGTCGATGTGCGGCAGGGCGGCCTCCCTCTTGGTTTTGTGGGCGACGTCCTGGTGCTGCTTGCTCTTGGTGAGGGCGTGGCGGATGGTGGCACGATGGTCGCCAGGGTGGAAGGGAGCCTTGCCTTGGACGGCCTTGGAGACCACCTTGGTGCTCGCGCGGGAAGCGGGGTAGGCGGCGGCGGCACGGTCGAGAGGGTCACGTATGCCGGTGCCGCCAAAGCGGGCAAGCAGCAGCATCAGGTCGACCTCGGACGGCGTCACAGGGCCACCGAGGAGGGCCGGCAGCAGCTCCTTGACGATGACCTCACGGAGGGGGCTGAGAGCGCACTCGTCGGTGAGCACGACACGAAAGACGTAGTCCCACTCCATCTGCAGAGACCTCGTCATTGCCGCGTGGGCCGTGTGTGGGAAGTTGCGGGCAGCAGACGTGAGCGCGCGCACGCCGCGCACCCACCCCTCGACCTTCTCGCAGAGGAACGCCGCCCTCCCCCCCTCATCGCCCACGTAGCCGCCCAGGAACCTCTTGCCCGTGACGTTTCGCACCCCCTCGGGCTCGAAGAGCTCCCTTGCAATCTGCTCGAGCTCGAGTTTGACGACGAGGAAGGACTTGGCGGCCTCCGGGTGATAGCCGTATGAGGGACCGATGCGACGCAGGGCTCGAAACCACACGAGTATGCCGTGAAGTTTGCCGAGCGCCGATGAGTCATCTGCATACCAGCACTGCCGCAGCGAAGCGCTAGATGAAGAGGCCGATAAGGCCGACGAACTCTCTCTGTCCTCCTCACCAACTCCAACACCTTCTACATCAGAACACACACATACACCCGCACCATCCCCCTCTGCTTCTGGTGGCGTGTCACTGGCTTCTTCTGGCTTCTCTTGCGCTTCTGATGGCGCATTTTCGTTCTCGTCCGTGTCTGACCCAGACCCATCGCTGCCTGACTCATCCCATGCCCCACTCGACGGCGTCTCATATCCCTCCTCAGCGCAGGCAGCCCGCAGGGCATGGATGAGGGGAAGGCTGCTGCAGGCGTAGACAAAGATCGCCATCGAATCGCCCTGTGTGACGCCTTCACAGCTCCACAGACAGCCGGCTGAGCCTTGCAGGTGAAGTGCGGCGAACCCTCGGTAGGTGTTGAACACATAGCGAGAGCAGCGGGGCCACAGCACGCGGGTGTTCCAGATGGCAGCAGGCCGACTGATGCGATTGAAGGCGTTGCTCGCGTCCACCAGCAGGAGCCCCTCGGTCTCGTCCTCTTGGAAGAGGTCATTCACGGCGTGCACAGCCCCCTCGAGGCCCCCCTTCACACCGATGCACAGCTGATCAGTGCCGCAGGTCGTCTCCAGGTCAGAGCGGGTCACCATGGCCATGCACTTGCCAGCCAGCCGAGAGAGCACCTCCCCGACGCCGATGGGGCGGACGCCCGGGCATTTGTCGAGAGCGATGAGGCGGCACGCTCGCAGGGCCTTGATGTTGTCCCATGGGACGATGGTGTTGGCCAGGAGACGAGCGAGGCCACAGCCGCGCGGAGGCGGCCGCTTTTGGCACCGTATCGAAGGAGGAAGGTCTGCCAGAAGTTCGCATCGCCACCGGTCGGTCCAGCGCTCCCACTGAGGCACCGTGCCGCTCGCTCCACGGTCGAGTCCGTGATGTCCACGTCAATGAGGGGAGGAAGGTCGTCACACGGAAGGAAGGCTTCCTCATGCGGCTGCTGCTGTGGTGGGTGCTTCTCGCGAAGGACATCGAGCACCGTGACCCCCGGGGGGCGCTTCTCGGCCTGAGCAGATGGGTGGAGGACCCCCCCGCCGCCCCTCTCGGTGACGAAGCGGACGGCCGCCCGGACCTTGCCCTCGAGCATGAGCTTGTTGAAGATGCGATAGACCGACGCGTCGTCCAGCTGAGGCTGAGTGGTGGGGAACTGCTGGTCCAGTCGCTCCGCCTCGCACACGAGCTCCTCCACCTGCCCCTTCTGCCACATCTGCAGCCGCCTCCAGAGCATCCGCTTGACATCGCGCTTCCTCTTGACATCCGGATCTCGCTGGATGAGTGTGCGGACGAAGACGCCAGCCCGCTCGGACGGTGCCTCGAGCTTGGAGATCTTCTCCACCTCATCAGCGATGGCATCGGCGATGGCGCGGCCAAGGTTGCCAAGCTTGCTGAGATCCTTCACGCACCGCAGTCGAAGCTGGCAGACCCGCTCGTGATATGCCTCCCACTCAGGGAAAGTCGATCCACTGGCGGAGTTGACGAGGGGCTCGCCGAAGGCCTCGCGCATCTTCTCATCGACAAAGGAAGCCGTGGAGGGCACGGCAGGGCCAGCAGAGGGGGAGACGGCATTCGATTCATCATCATCATCATTGCTAACGGCCGGGTCCGCAGGATACGCAAAATTCGTGCACGTGCCGCGCTTGCAATTGACACAGTTAGTGCACAGGCGCTTGTGCTTCCGGCAGTCACACTTCCGGCTGCATGTGGACAGCGCAGACGTCCCTTTCGCGTTGCATGCGCAACAGGGGGGGCCCGCCGCCGTCTCGCGGGATGAGGGTCACTGGGGGGGGTTGGGTGTAGTCCGATACACGCTCCCTCATCCGAAAAGGAGGAGAAACAGCCGAGAAATAACCGACTCAATCAATCAAATTTGCTAAGGTGCATGTCTTCTTGCCCCTGTTCTTGCAGTTGCACCACAGTCCGGTCCGGCCGTTGCCCCGGGGCTTCATTGTGCCCGCCAAATGGCCATTATCGCGGATCCTGCACACTGGGCAGGGCATGTTCCTCACCACGCGGCGAGCGGGCTCGTCCTCGGTGGGAGGGGTGAATACGAGGAACCGCAGAATGTTTTCGAGATCCCGAGGCGGAGTCTCAATCTTGTACACGCAGAAGTGCTCCGTGTTGTCATCGTCAACCAAAACTCCAATGATGGTGTACGGAGTGGATGGTGTACTTATGGACCCTGTTGTCAACAGACATGTGTGAGCAAGAAGAGAACAGCAAGTGTTGCGGAACACCGCGCGCGCTTCTTTCACCTGTGTGTGATCTCTTGTCGTTGGCGCCACTGCCGCCACAAGCAGGCACTGTCTTCGCAGCCCCGATGCGGAGCTTGAAAGACTTGAAGTGACTGGGGCTGGGACTGGGGGCGCCCCCAGGCCCAGGTAAAACAACTTCAAGCTGGAGATGGATGGCACTGACGCACCGCGAGTCATGTCGGATGAGGACCTGACGTCATCGAAGCGTTCCTCCAACGCATTTCGCCCACAGCACTCGACGGAAGACAGCCCCGCGCCTCGAAAGCTCCCACACGTGCTGCTCTCGCCGCTCAAAGCTCAAGGGTCTCAGGACTTCGACAAGAAGTAATTCAAGCTGTGCCCATGAATGCGTAGTTCGAGAGGCTCAGGCATCATTGTCTTGTCTGGTCTCTCGGTGATTGGCTCTTCTTGCAAGGTCTGTGCGGTCCAAGGGTGATGACAGTGCCAGTCGCACAGGGATATCAAGCCTCAAGCAGAGTTTGGCCATCGCGCTGGGTGACAAGGCGGCCGAGGGGTACTTATCGGTGCCGCTGCGGCGAGAGGCATTCATACAGCGGTGGGCGACGAAAAGGATACGCACACAAACAACCCGCGAGACGAATGTCCGTGACGTGGTTGGTGTGTGTGGGCTTGTGTGTCTCTGTCCAAGGCTGACGATGGAGGAGAACATGAGTCAGCAGGAGTGCGCGTGTCTGGTCAGCTTTGACTCAGCATGAACTCATGAGTCAGCATGAACTCCATTGATCGGCTCCTCTCATCTGTCTGCTGTTCATGAGCAGTTCTTCTCCTTTATCTTTCTGCTGTTCATGATCGCCGTATACGTCTCGAGCGGAACAGACCATGTGTATCGCGTGCACGAGTCCCTGAGGTACAGAGACGAAGGCAGCATAGAGAGAGGCGCTGGATGCACCATGTTTTCTCTCTCTCTTGTCTGGCACTTAGGGAGGCGTTTCACCTCGATGTACGCATGGGAAAGGAGACAACGGAAGAACACCGGCATTTGGTTGCGGCCATGCGTCCTGTTGTGTCTCCTGTTCGTCTGCCTGCGTGCCTGGATACGCATCTGCAGGACCTGGATGACGTTCGGACGGTGGATTCAGTCTGGGGGTTCATCGCAAACCTGTCCAAGACTGAGTCCGAGTACATACCCTCCTCCAGCCAGTTCTTCATACACGACGCGACCACGGAGCTCAACGCGCTGCCCACATCAGCCTTCTTCCCGCCGTCTCGCAACCTTCAAAACTACCCACTTGAAGTAAGCTGGCAGAAAGAGAACAACCAAAGCCACACTCGCTGAGTGAGATTGAGTGGTCCCTGCCATTATTTCCTCTTTGCTCCGCACAGCTGTTTAAGACGTTCACGATGACGGGTAACAAACACGCAACAAAACGAAAATATGTCTGCCGCTTCACTGTGCTGTTTGAGTTGTGTCTTTGCTTCAGCCTGGGTGAAGGTCAGCATTGCGCACCGAGCACATATAGATGTCGTATGTGCAGGTGCTGTTGACTCACTTGGTGCATTTCTTCAGACGACGTCTCCTCAGTTCACGGTCATCGAAAAGAGACTGGATCGCGACATCGCCGGACTCGGCAGCACGTGCTGGCGCATTGGCGTTGATTGCGTCACATACGGCGCACATGAGGGCCGGCTCTTCGGGACATTCGTTAGCTAACACGATAGAGACACACATTCTTCCAGACCTACACAGACAGTCTGACAGGTGACATATTATGCAGGTGACAGACGTGGCTCAAGACCTTTTGATGAAGGCTTGGGCTCCAGCAAGGACCACGTCCTTCTCGCGAGGGATAGACGACTCAAGCTGTCCGCGCGGCAAGGACCCCGACTTCACTCAAACAAGAGAATCGATGAAGGCCGAAGCCGAAGCCGAAGCTCAGCTGAACGATCTCAGTGGAAGTACGCTGGACAATGCGACTGTGGTTGACGGGGAGTGGCACCTATACGCAGTGGTCGGCGACCTTCACGTCCATGTCTCTATGTCTCCGCACATGCATCAATCTGTGTCTGCGTGCCTGGACGGTGTAGATAGTCCGCAACACCACGGCTTCATTTCTAGCGGGTGCCTGACCGAGAGACAAAACGAAACACCACAGACACGTATTGCCTTTGTCTTGACTCTGCACAGACGGCGGGCTTATAGAATCGTTGCCAAACCCGACGCACCAGCGAACTATCTGTCCAGGGCGTCGCACAGTACCTGTGTACCACCAAACACTTACCGATGTAAGTAACATCTGATGGTGACAGGTGAGAAGTGTGCACAGAGTGCCTGTCCGCTTTTCTCATCAGTGTGCCGAGGGTTCGTTCTACGTGGGTAGGGAGCAAGAAAGAGGGATCGCGCGACGACGTAACGGTTTCTATGGTCTTCGTATTGGTTGATTGAAGGCGACGATCAGTTTTCTGGTCACTTAGCTGACGTGCGGATCTTCCCGCGAGAGCTGACGAAGAGCGAGATCCAAGACATCATCACATGTTCGCTTTTCGTCAGGCAGAGAGACAGACCTTCGCACAAATGTCTTGTGTCTTCTTCCCCTGTGTGTGTGCAGTCGGAGCCCCGCTGGACGATCTCATCAACGCGGGCGGCGCGTCCGCTACCGATACCATTAACCTAGCGCAGCAGAGGCTTGATAAACTGGAGGATACTGTCACAGCTTCGCTGGACCAAAAGCAGGAAACGTACCTCAAAAGCATCAAGACGCTTCGAAACGACCTGGTTGGCAACCCGTTCGCCGCATCCGCTGGCGGGAACGGGTCGGTCCGTTTGCTCACGCCTCTGGACACCCGGTCCTTACAAGGTAGCGCCCTGACCGAGAATGACACGGCGAGGTTTCTGGAGCTAATGGATTCATGCTACGACAACCCCAGGTACACACCTTTATCAGGCATATATCTCGACATGGCGGCCATCCATCTGTCGTGTGCTGCGCTGCGCGTGTGTCCATTTGTTCAGTTACCATGACTTCAGTAAGCGAACTAGAAAGAGGGAGAGAGGACAGAGGGACGCAGGGGCGGCGAGGGCTACCGTTCATCCGTGTGTGTGTGTGTTCGTGGGGGGTGTTGCTGCACAGTGCTTGATGATTGTCAGGTACAGAAAATTCCTCCTCGCAAACATGGTGCATGGACATTCCTCTCCACGCATTGATTGTCAGTGGTATAGGACCAACGACAAAAGCTGCAGTCTCTACGTCGACAACGTCACAGTCGGTCAGTGTCCAATCTCGTACTCACAGTGCGCTCTGCAATTCATGAGCATCGCGTGGGACATATTCGACATCGACGATGACTTCTTTTGGAATTTCACAGAAATGAAAGCATTCATGGAACCGGTAAGGGTCAGTGCGACTGCGATTGAAAGTAAGTGAGCTCTTTGTATCTGCAGATAGATCCGACCTTTGATGAATACAGCTTCGCTTTCATTCGTCTGGCATTGGACGTTTCGACTAACAAGATACCCTTTGAAGCGGTGCAGACCCCACATGAGCTGCTAGATCTCTGGTACACATCCTATCAAAGCCTCCTGAGAGATCCAGCAGCTCCCCTCCTCGGCCAGTCTTCAACTGACTATATGACTAAAATACAGGGGATTGACGACCCGATTGGTATGCCGGTAGCAGGCTCGACGCTTAACGTAAGAGTTTGGTTTGCTAAGAAAGCCATAGGGAAAACAGCCTCTTCTTTTTCCTCCAGATCACTTCTGACTACCTATTGGGAGCTCTGATACGAACGAAGCTGCTATCGCTAGCCGTATCGACTTGGTTACGGGGATTCTCAGATCACGACGTGATCCGAGTCATGAGGGTACAGTCGCATGAATGCAACCTGTGAGTCGCCACTTTGTGCCAACGATGAATGCGGTTTTTCGACAGGGGAACAAGACGTGCTGGAGGATAGGTCCGCTGGAGTTTGATGATGAGGACGAAGTGCCATGGTACTCACGCACGGACTCACACGGAATGTCATTTATCCCTCAATTCACCTTATCCTTATCGTTGTCATTCACTATACCGCCAAGGGGAGTCGAGTACGGGGAGTATAGCTTCTCTGATATCGATTTGTACGTAGACAATCAAAAACTCCCAACACACATCTAATCTACAACGTCCGTGTTTGCATTTCTCGTTTAGCACAAAATACGGAATTCCGGGTTTCACGATTACTGTTGAGGTAAAATGTATACGGGGGGATCGGTGCGGAGCTCATCATGATCTTCGTTTGCAGATGCCGCTGGAGGTATTTTCCGTCACCAGCGACGCAGAGGCACTACAAACCACGGCAGTCTTCGAAGACTGGCACCGTAAGAGAGACACACTCATGCACACGAAAATTATGCGTGTTCTACCTCTGTCTATGTGTGTGGTTACAGATTTCGCCGTCACAATCAAAGACGACAAGACTCTAACCATCTATCTCAACGGCCGCTCTGCCAGCCCATACCAGGGATTGGATGGCAGATTCAGGAAAAGTGGATTCAGGAGCATCTCCGGTTCTTTTCATTCGCTTTACAGTTTTTGATTCCATTCGACAATTGTTTATACAAATACACCGAAGCTGACGTTGTGGAATTTCTCGATGAGCTCCTCTCGCCTGGTACTGAGATTCGCCGGAAGCTCAAATCGATGAGGTAAGCGGGCAATGCTGCGCAGCGGAACGAATGTGAAGCAGGGCTCTTGGTGCGCGTATTTGAAGCAGTAAGTCGGAAGGCGAGATGCAAAGTCTCGATACTTTGCACGAGAAAATGGAGAAGGGCGTGAGAGCACAGCATCGGACGCTGCAAATGCCGGACCCGACACCGCTTATAGAGGCATGGTTCAGGGAGACAAGCTTTGAAGTTGGAGGATTGGTGAAAGGCCGAGAAGACGTGTTTGTGAGACATGATAAAGCTGCGGCAAAGCCCATTTGACGGCTTACATCCAATCTATTCTTATTGGTCAGACAACCGCTGGCGAGTTGTTTGACTTCAAATTCTACGATCGCGACTTGAGTCTCCAAGAAGCTCAACTCGACTATTACACCGGCACCGAATACAGCGTGCCGTCCATGCCCGGCAGCCCCCAGGCGCCCATCTCACAAGTCAGAGCCAACATAATGAAGTATTTGAAGACACACAGTACGTGTTTGGGCAAAAATCAATAACCTGCGAGAAAGACAGGCGTGAGAGAAGGCATGTGTTTGTGCACAGCCTACACAGCCTACGAGTGCCACTTCCCATCCACAGTCGAGGCCAACAGCAGCACCAACTACGCGTGCACCGATTACCGGACAACAGAGACGGGAGAGTACTTTGGTGTCCAGCCACAGGACTTCCTGGTAAGTGTACGGATCGAACGAAGAGTCCCTCTGTGAAGCCGATTCATTTTCGTTTCTCGTTTCTGATCTGTTGTGTCTCAGGGCGAGAGTGTGTACGCCGACTTTCTGCGCGTGTTTGATTCAATGATTATCAAGAGAGGCGCCTCAAGCGATATCCGCTTTACGCGCGACTGGATAGATATACAGACACGGTGAGATGCTGAATAATCCATACGCGTAAAGACGGACCGCTAGTCTGCCCGCCGGGTCTCAGTTTGTGTGCTGTGTGTGTATGATAGGGAAGTGAATATAATCTCCAGGTATCCAACCCAGCCACGCCATCATCTCTCTCTCTCTCTCTCTTTGTGTGCGTGTGCGTGTATATATATGTGTGTGTGTGTGTGTCAGCTTCTGCACACCGACACTGAGGATCGGCACCCTCATGAAAATCTCCTTTCTTATGGTCAGTGGGGGCGGGGTGGCCTGGGGGGCAGCACCGACGAAGGGTGAATTGTCTCTTTGTGTGTGCGTTGGTGTGTACGCTGTGTGCAGGAGCAGGAGCGGGTCCAAGGATCTTTCACCCTCGACAGCGTCCACTCGGTGTTACACATACGCAGACACACTTACGAGGCTCTGGATGACTATGTCTCTGTGCGTGTGCATGGTTGTACAGATGGGAGACACTGAGGACATTCTCTTTCAAGTCTTGATGTATACCGTCGCACTCCTCGTCCTCGCCAGACTCGCCGCTTCCTTCTACAGGTACATATTGAAGTGCGCAGCACACAGGCTTAAGTGTGGTCATCGGTTTTCTCTCAGGGTTTTCTTTCGGAAGAAGAGCTTCTCCAACAAGATCGGCATCTCGAGGTTCTGGTGCCTTGTGGATCTTTTGCTGGGCTGTATCATTATGCTTGCCGTCGGCTTTATGATTATGAGGCGGGTGACGTTTGAGGGCGAAGACTTTTAACCTCTACTTCAGCGAGATTCTCGAGGTATCGCGTGTCCATGAGTGGGTCGAAGCCTGGTTGACCGGCGTTCCTGCCTTCTGTCAGATCCCGTGGACTTCCGAGACCATCGCGCCGAGCGAGAAATTCGCAATGTTCTTCGACGCTCTCCAGGATATCTCCCGTCATATCAATGTCTTGTTCTACTCCAACACACTTGTGGCCATCGTGTTCTACCTCTACTTCGCAAGAATCGTTATCTACATGTACGACACACAGGGAGAGGGGCGGGGAGAGATCGAGACATTCTGCGTGGTCGCTGCGGACTGCATGAGTGTGTCTCTTACCCATATATGCAGGTCAGCTCATCCGCGCGTTGCCGTCCTGGTTCGAACCTGTGTGCTGGCCGGAAACGATCTGTTCCACTTTCTCCTGACGTTTATCATACTCTACGTGATCCTCGCGTTCATCGGATATTTTCAATTCGGTGCGAGTTTTTATGTCTTCTCCACGTTTCAAGAGAGCCTGATGACGCAATTCAAGATGCTCGTCGGCTCTTGGTAGGCGTGCGTCCCTATCATACGTGTGTGGGAGTTGCGCACGTTGCTGTCACGCTCACACGTGTGACCGATGTCAGGCCAGAGGAGATTACCAACACAGGAGAGAATTCCGCGCTCATCATCTATTTCGTCATCTTTGCGCTGGTGGTGGTTTTCATTCTGGTAGGTGGTCATCATGACTGAAGGTGATGATCCCACATGCATCAATGCTGGTGGTCATCAGATGAATTTCTTCGTGGCGATCATTATCGAAAAATATGAGACGGCCAAGTGAGTGGGTGCGTGTGGGTATGGACACAGCGACAGAGGTGGCCGGATTGCCATGTGTGATGGATGGGTATTGCCACGTGTGCAGGTACCAGCTTGAAGAAATGGCGTGCGAGGTCAACAACATTCTCGTCGATAGGTGGGTGAATTGGCGTGTGTGTGTACTTCCGCTGTGAGGAATTTCCGTGTGTCTCTGTGTCTCCCTGCAGCTACGACCTGATCATTCAGACCGTCGCGAGCACGACCTATCGCTGGCCGCCGAGGACGGAAATCATATCTGAGCTGGAAGGCAACACACACACACACACAGACGCATACACACATGGCGTCGCACACTCCCTCCGATGTGTGTCTTGCGTGTTGTGTGTGGCATGTGTGCCTGCCTGGGTGCAGAGATGGATTTCGAAGGCGACACAGTGAGCTACAGTGACTTCAAGGATTATACGTGCTTCAAGGACCGCCCGAAGAGGAGTGTCCAGGCCCTCTACAGCTACTACGCCTGGTACCAGCTGTCATATGCCCATGGATGTATGTCTTTGTGTGTTTGCGTCCCTGTGTGTCTCTGTGCATGTGTCGTGTCGACAGGAGGTTCACCTCATTGCACGTCGACTACACGAGTTCCCTGCCTGCCGCAGTGGCCGCCAAGCTTCAGGACCCGGCCATCTGCTGGGCGGTAAGTCCCAGAGTAAGAGTGCTTTTACTTTAATAAGACCGATGGACTGGCCAGTCAGTCAAAGTTGTTTCTGTCCATGTATGGC